CATTTTTTTTACATGGAACAAAAACATTCGATTTTTCAATAAAATTAGCTTTTCTCATTTTTTTACAGCCAAAAATGTTTTGCAATATACTCATTAGCAACACTTTTTCACGCTGCATCTGATGAATATATTCCAAAGTGCTTTTGGCTGTAAAAAAATGAGAAAAGCTAATTTTATTGAAAAATCGAATGTTTTTGTTCCATGTAAAAAAAATGAGTTTTTTAACATTTTTTAATATTTTCCAAGTAGTTTTTTGAATTATTTATCTCCGAAAAATGGCTTAAGGAATTTCTAATATATACAATCTTGTAGAGCTCGACGATCTCTATCAAACTATGTAAAAATATCCAAGAAAAAAATGTTTACTTCATTTTCAAATTAGTGGCGCCTTAATTTTCTATGCCAAAAAGTGGAAAATTTCGGAAAAGTTATTAAGTTGAACATTGAAAAGTTTTGATAACTCTTACTATTTGGCACTGATAAAGCCCGTTTTTGACGCGCTTTCATTTGGTATAAAATTTTTTATGGTTCCTATTTGAAATCAGAGGGTTACCCCTGGGAAAAATATTTTTACCCGCCCTGTACAGATCTGTATATAATAACATAAGAGGGAGGAAAAAGACATAATAAAAAAAAGGAGCTATTTTTGTCCATGAGAGACTGAATGTTTGGCTATTAAAGTGTGAATATACTTCCTTCATCTTTTCTGCTAACCTGTATTTATTAAAGAAAAACCAGACATGAACAGAATTTTTTGAAATCATGTCTTCTCTTAACTGCATTGACGGTATGTGCTTAAATGGAGGATATTGTTCGGTGAATGGAAGCGACTTCTGTTCCTGTCCACCTTGTTTTGTTGGTAAGACATGTGAGGTTGAAGATAATTTACTCCGGCGTAACTATCCATACGTTATGATGATTGCAATAAAACAATCAAAATCTTCGACTAATTATCGCCTATTATACACATTCACACTCAGTTTTTGGATATTATTTGGATTAGTAAATAACATACTTGCATTGCAATTTTTTCTCTGCAAACCTATTCGAAAAACATACTCTGGAGTTTATTTAATTGCATTTGCATTCTGTAGTTTTTACATAATGTTATTTCTTGAAACAAGATTGATGATCACACTGTATGCCAATGAATTTATAACACAGTCGTACATTTATCAATATCTGTTTGACTGCTATGTCCTCGGAACTATGAATACAATAATTACCGCTGCGAGCATGTGGTGTTCATCAATTTTGGCTGTTGAACGGTGTCTTCTTGACCTGTGTTTCTTTAAATTATTTGGTATCACACGAAAACATTCGATTATTATCATCGTGTCGGTGTACATCTTCGTGGCACTTTCCAGAGTGCCAACGATTATGATGAAATCCATCGCATCCATGCCGTCTTCGTCTTCTGATCTAGTGGGAAATGCTTATAGTTGTTCCTATAATCCGAAGCCAGCCCTTAAAATGGGTGAAGCATTTGTTGCTTGGTTCAATCCAGTTGGTTCAAGCTTTTTACACTTTATAGCTAATATTCTGGTCTTGATAAGTATTGCACGGCGTAAAGTTTTTCTTTCTCAAGGGCGACAATCACAGTTGACAATGTCACATTCTCTCTATCAACAAATCGTCAATCATAGTGAATATTTTCTTCCACCATTTGTAATTCTTTTATGTCAACTGACGAATTTAATCGCATTTCAAGTAGCTCTTAAGCTTGGCTGTGTTGAAGCAAAATTTGGTACATGGACACATGTGCATCTATTGTGTAGTTTCATTCTTTATGTGCCTCAGTCATTAACATTTGTATTATTTGTTTATCCGTCGAAAAATTATATGAAAATCTTTTGGAAAGAATCAATTGTTGGACATTGGATTGAAGAGTCCAAAACGTTTTACGCATAAGCAATCGGAGTACAAACTGGCATTTGGCAATTGCGACTCAACCGTAAACTTTTTTTTTCCGTTTCTGTAATTAAATTATTCCCTCTACTGAAAGGAGGGTCTTACACCGAAATGAGTTGATTACGTTCGTTCCTAAGTTCGTAACTTCGTTCGTTCGCACAGAACAAAAAAAATGTTTTTTTGACCTCTCTCATGGAAACGCACTATAAAGTTTGACCAAAGGTAATCGGGGTCGGGGAACTCGAATCCGTGGTTAGTTTTTTGAAATTTTGCTTTTTGCTTCTTTAGGAGAGAGAAAGGCTTTTTTACGAAAAAAAATGTTTTTTTATAAAGTTTGACCAAAGGTAATCGGGGTTGGGGAATCCGAATCTGTCGTTAGTTTTTTGAAATTTTGCATTTTGATTTTTTTAGGAGATACAAAGACATTTTTACGAAAAAAATGATTTTTTATAAAGTTCGACCAAAGGTAATCGGGGTCGGGGAATCGTAATCCGTCGTTAGTTTTTTTAGTTGTCCATCGATTTTTTTTGTAAGAAGCAGTTTTTTTTGTCCCTGAGCTATCGAGAGGCTCGTATGAAATATGTTAGGTATGCGGTGTTGCTGCTATGTTAGAGCTACGTTTTCATATTTGTGAAGGTTATGTCAGGGATGATAAACTATTTGACTTGAGCTTTTCTGCATGTTTTGCATGTGGCGATTTCAACGCATACAATGTTTTAGTGTGTGGCTGCCAGTTGGTTATGCTTCCCCCAGATTTTCATTCACTTAATGTGCTGGGATTATTTCTCGAACTAGTAGTTATGATCAGGGTGTGGGTGTGTTGATAATTAGCAAGCTGAGTCTGATGTAAATATGCAGTGAGTGAGATTTTTAGATGAAATGTATTTGGCATAATTTGACGTGCTGCATTTCATCAGCCTACGGGTGAGGTTTCGTATCGTTGTGGCTCTCGAAAAATATATTGGAGACGCAAGAGTACTATGGTTTCTATGACTGTCACGGAAACCACATTGAGAACCCAATGAGCATTTGTCTTCATGTGCGTTAGCACTCTGACAGGCATAGATAAGTTTACGGGATCCTCTATTATCTGTGTCTATATCTACTCTCGTAATATTTCTTCTTGGCAGCGTATTGAACCATTCGATACTTTCCAGTAGCGGTTCTTAGTCGTGAACTTTCTCGAGATTTTGAGTTGAAAAAGGTTATATTAGGAAATATACGAAAATAGTGTCACAACTTTCATTATAAATTCACAGCAATAAACTGTTGTTCAGATGCATTTAAATAATGGACCGACTAGTTGCCGATGTTGTAAGTTCACTGTAGATTCGTTTCAGAAAAGGTCTCTATATAAGCTAGAATGCTTGATGA